CCCCAAAACCCCAAAACCCCAAAACCCCGTATTGTTAGAATTAAAGTATAGATGTTAAATGAACTAAGTGAATAAACCTATTAATAAAGTTAAATATTTATTTAGACAATAAATTTCAAAATTATTAATCATCAGGAAGAATAATTACTAAAGAAAGTATATTAAAGTCAATGGAGTGCTCAGGTTGTTTTAATCCATTTGATTAAGAAATTCATATTCCAAGAATACTAATAAACTGTGGTCATACTCTCTGTACAGTGTGTATACAAAAATAGATAATGAACGAGAGCTGACAAAAGGAAGGCGAGCAATGCAAGTGCCTAGATTGTGATACTCCATTTACCGTAGATAGTCCATCTTAGCTCCCAGTAAATCTAGCACTTTTGTCCTTCACCAAGATGCAAGGATCCTAGGAGCCACCTAAGTAATAGTAGTAGTCAATTTAAAGTTAGCATTAGCCTAGAAGAAATAGAGTATAATCGACAATTTAGACAGGATAATAGGTATCTTTATGTGAGTCTCACAATAAAAAAATTGAAGCATTTTGTGATTTAGACAAAAAGCTTTTGTGTATCGATTGCATATTGAATGAGAATCATAAGAGCCATGAAATCTTATCACTAGAAAAGGCATGCTAAAAGGAGAAATATGTATTTGAAGTATCTTTAAAAACGGCTTTGTAAAAAGAAAATGAGGTTTAGCACTAGATACATAGAATAAAAAATTATCTAAGTGAACTTGAGGAATCCGCGAATAGGAACAGGAGTGAGATTAGCAAGATATTCAATGAGATACGAAATAAAATCATTGAGAAGGAGACTAATATGAAAAAGATGATATCGGATACTTTAGAAAAAGAATAGCAGATGCACAAAGCCAGAATTGTTTAATTAGAAGATTAAATGAGATGTATTTAGGACTTAAAAGATGAGAAATAGAGGATAGATGCTGAACCTGCATTAGAGACACTTCTCTAATCACCATTCAGATGGGAAATCGAAAATGAAGCTAATAGAAAGATAGAGACATTAACATTCAAATAAGTCTTCCCTGAGATTAAAAAAGATGAAGAAATAGCAGGAATTGTAAGAGCGATTATACCCTTACATTTAAGGACTAGTTTATTGCAAGGTACAGTTTCATCTTCAATAAAAAAGAAGGAAAAATAGGACGACCTCAAAAGAAGAGAGTAATCGAATAAACCTGCAATCCCAGTTTATGATTATGATCACAAATTCAATTATAGGAATGGTTATCTAAGAGATGATAGGGTTCCAGCTTTTATTTCTACCAAATAAAATTAATAGTTAAGAAGAGAAACTGAAGTTGAAAAAGCTGTCAATACCAGCACAGATTTTATCAATGAGAGTAGGACACTTATAGGTGTTGTATAGAAGTAAAATAACAATGGTGGGCCATCAGCTAATAATAACTATAATAAATAGCAATAAAATAGAAATCTTGGCAGGGGTGGTAATGCAGGCCCCCTTGGAAGTAATGACAATTCTCCGAGAACTCAATAATTACTAATGAATCAATAAATCAATAAATAGCATTAAAACGTTGTCTAATAGCAAATATCTGGGCTCTAATAAGTAAATTAAAGAATCGCAAAGAAAAGTCAAACTTTAACAAAACGAGAAAATGTAAATGCTGAAATGTCTATTTTATCTAAAGATGAATCAAGCATTTTTAACTAAAATTAGAACAAAATTTAACTGATTTCGAACTAACATGCTTATCAAATGAATAATAAAAGATCAATTTCATCTGGTAGAGTTAATGATGAGTTGTAGTGTACTTTGCCCTCATCTATTTAGAAGAAAGATTCACCTCCTAAGAAAACTAACAGAGAAGGCAGTATTCTACCAAATACGATCTTTGAAAAAATAGAGAATGACTCGTAAAACGATCAAGAAATGGAAGCTAATTAGGATGATCCTCACCTTTAGCAATATTAGCCATCCATATAAATACCACAGCCTGACATTAAATAATCTATTATGAACACTGGAAAATTAAGAACTAGCAATTTAGCTGAGGCAAGATAATATAAGAAACAATAAAAATAATAGCAATAGATATAGGTCTAATATGTAAAGCCTATTCAAAATTAACCCTCTATTTTACATAATCCAAATGCATCGATATCAATGGTTTCAACTTAGACCAAGAAGAAAAAGCAAAAGGGCAGAGATAGTCAATATTTTGAATTCACTAATGAGAAATTGTTTAAGCAGATAATTGAAAAGAAAGGATCAAATAATCAACTGACTAAGACTCAGAAGTCTTAGAAAACATTAAGATCGCAACAAAATCCTTAAAAAACTCAAAGGAAATCTCTGAACTAGAATATAAATATTAAGTCACATGCATAATACAAGCAAAGTGAATCATCAGATTAATCATAGAATCCAAATCAACTGAGCAAAGATGACAGATAGAAATCATCTCAAGATGAACAACATGAATATGAGGAAACAGAAAGTCAGCAAGAGGAGGACTCTTACGAAGAAGAAAAAATAGAGGATGAGTTCTCTGATTAAACTTAAAAGAAGCGAAGAGGGGGTGTCAACAAGTTTAATGATCGATCTCCTGTCAAAAGTGAAGATATGGAGGATATAGATGTTGCTCCAGAAATATCATCAATTCATGAAAGTCCTTAGAAAAGACAATCCTCTGAAGTTCACTAAAGTCCAGATCTCATTATCAAAACAGATAGTCCTCATGGACAAGCCACAACTAGGGATAAGAAATTGATTAATATGGGAATGAGCGGTCCATTACCTTTGAAAGTTTTGAGAGGTTTGAATTCTGATACAAACAAAAATCAAGTTGAATTGATATTTGATGATGATCAAAGTAGAATAGTCTTTTAAAATGAATAAAATACATTGAATGAAATTGATAGAGATCAAGTAAGCTTTAGATTGGACTTTGATGTAATAATGAAGAGCAATAATGATGATAGTAGCATGTTTTAATTTAAATAGTTGCCTATTGGTAAAGAAGGTGATATTGAAAAAATGATTCCACACTCATTAGTAGCAGCTTAATTGGATGATAACAGCAAATAACAGTCATCGGTCACATCTATGACAATGGATTTTGAAAACCTCTTTAAAATGAAGGAGGAGTATATATTCGTTTTTTGTAAGATAGTAGAAATGAAGTATAACCAATAATATAGGTGGCTTTAATGAAAGATTTTTGACATCAGTAGAAGTGCTTGATGTGACTAGGGGTATTTGGAGAGAATTCCCAGAATCTTGCTCGAATCGTGCTAAATTTCAAGTCCAACCAATAAATGATGATACTATAATTATTTTTGGGGGTAAAGATGAAGTATTGCACTTTCTTTGAGTTATTTAATTTATATAGTTTGGTATTCAATTAGATGAAGTCGAGGATTTCAATATCAAAGATATGAAGAGCTTCCTTGGAGACTGGAAACTTCCAACGAATGTTTCAGGATTCGCATCCTGTTAAGTGAAACGTATTATTTGCCTTTTAATTGATTATAGCTGGAACTATTGCTATCTGTGGTGGAAATACTGGACCTAATATCATCAATAAATTCTATATGATCACTTTTAAAAAAGGGGAGACAATACCCCAAATATCAGAGATGCCTCCAATGATCAAACCTAGAGAAGAGTTTGCTTTGGTAATGGGGCCAGAAGGAAAATTATATGCAGTTGGTGGTTACAATTCTCAAGAGTAAATCAACTTAGTTTAATAATGATAATTTAGAGGATGTTTATCGTCCATTGAAAGCTTTGATTTCCAAACTCAGTAGTGGCAAATCATAACATCCCTAGACGAAGGTAAAAGAGCATTAAATGCAGTAGCTCTACCTGATGGTATTTACATAATAGGAGGCTACAATGGCAAAGAATATTTGAACACAGTTCAAAAGTATGAATATCTTTATCTTTATCTAAGTTTAGATACGACATTTCAAGCAACAAAATGAGTTATATGAGACCAATGAACACAAGCAGAGGCACTTTTTCAGCCCTAGTAGCCTAAAATTGCCATCATATCTATGCTATTGGTGGATTTAATGGTTAACCATTAGATCATGTTGAGCGCTACGATACAATGCAGAACTAATGGGAATATCTAGCTCCCATGAAATAAAAAAGATTTATGCATGCTTCATGCATGACTTTCATGTAAGTCAATAAAATCGGCCTTAAAACTTTTAGCGAAAAAAAGAAATGAAGTTATTAGAAAGTATTAATACCTAGAGTATCATCTCATAAAGCGAATTTATAATGAACGAATGTAAAATCCTTATTCTCCTAATTATCATACCCAACTTACCCCTTATTTATTTCAAGATTTGCAATCTTTTCAACGCTTCTCACTATTCTCTACAATCCATTACTGACGGGGTTTTGGGGTTTTGGGGTTTTGGGG